TTAAAGTGGCCAAGTTTGGACAACACTGAGCTAAAGACATCCATTGTCTTCTTTCATACTCAGTATGCGGAGTTGGGAGAAGCATGCACATCCCCTCTTTGTCTGTTAGTTTATAACTCCCAAATAGGGCTTAGGGAGCATGAGAACTGCAAAATGTAGCTGGTTAAATTTCAGAGTAATCTGGAGTTGAAAACATCTGAAATAGCTAGTATTTTGTATAGTTCTTTGTGCTTTCTCTATAACTATGCTACTTGGCTCCTGTTCCTGAATCCCATTTCCCTCTAATACTTGTTCCTTCCCTCTTTGTTTCAGTTCCCAGCCATAAAATACCGAGTTTTTTGAAAATTTGAACCTTTAAAATTCATGGAATTTAAGCAGCTCAAAAACTGGCAGCCAAGCATTTGGCTGGCGTTTATTGAAAATATATCAGAGTCAGCCATCATCTTCCACTTGTTTCTGCTAGTAATAGCTTTCCCAGCAGCAATCGCGCAGGGGGGTTAATGGTCACGATACACGATCCAAGCCCTGCCTCTTTGTACATGCATGTGACACTGATACATACAAAGGGGGCAGGGCTTGAATTGTGCTGCTGCACCTGCCACCTTGCCTAAGAAATATGGGCATATGGGTGGAGATAGTGTGTGCAGGTTTTCCCATGGATTGGTCTTCAGCAAATCCTCAAGGGTGCTGCCATCTTCCACATACTGTAGGTATGTCCAGGTGATAGTTGCAGGCCGCTGGCTGCACAGCCAATAATTAATGTGTCATGTGGTCCTCTCTGACATATTTCAGGTGTATCCTGATCTGGTGCGTGTGGTGTCAGTAGGTGTCCCAGTTGAAAAGCTCTTGGCTGAGGGTTCTAAGTATGCAATGAGTACCTCTGTGGAACTGTGCTGTGGAGTGTAAGTATTTTTATCCTCTTCTGTTTCTTTTAAATTGGGATGTTTTGTTCATGCCTTGAGATCGTGCACGTGAAGTAGGTTTCCTTAAAAATTCCAATCCACCCTCCAGTTTCAGTGGGAAGACCAAAGTCTGCATAATTTCTGCACTGCCACAGCACTCTCTACTGCAGTACAAACTGCCAGGAGTCTTGACTAGCAGCTCCCACATGCATTTTGTAGTGAGACCCTTACCTGGGGGAGCTTCATGAGCAATATAAAATGATACATTCTAACTTACTACCAAAGAGAAGGGTAGTTTAAAAATACAGTCAAAATATTGATTTTCTTCCTTGTTTTTCTTCTTGCTCCTCGATTATTTACCATTGATTGCAAGCACTTGAAACTCAAGCAGCACAGCTGAACTATTTATTGGCCAAATCCAATAGGGTGGTTTGGCTTCAGAAGCTAGGAAATACCTTCTTTTAGCCACAGCTCTCATGAATGGGGGATTGGAGGCTTTCCTGTCTCTGCCATTTACTGTCTCGTTAACAGGCTTATTACAGAGATCTTCATACATACTAAGCTGAGCTTTAGATTTTTGACTTCTTCCAAAAAACAAAGTAGATTTGGTGCTCTTTCTCCTCCTGCCCAGACACCTTCTGCAAACAGGAGATATACAAGACTTCACCATCATCTCAGAGCGGCAGATGATTAAAGGAATCAGCCATATTGTTGCAGTGACAGGAGAGCAAGCCAGACAAGTAAGAGCTCAGTGAAAAAGCTGCCAGACTTTTACAAAGTTGGTGATGCAGATGCTGTTTAAGCATGCTGTCAGATCTGCTATCCTTCTATCTCCCTTTGATCTGTAACGTTGCATTGTCTGGAGGGGGTTGTAGACACCTACCCTTTCCAGTGCTCCTAGTACCTACTCACCTGCTGCCTCCAGTCTCATGCTCGAAGCAAATGTTATTCTCTTCCCTTTCCACCACTATTCAAATTCTGCAATTCAGAATCAGTTAAGGAAGCTAGATCTCTTTCATATAGTCCTTTGTTGTGTCAAGGTCTGTGATTGTGAAAAGAATGAGAAATCATTCTGTTTGGAAACAGGGAAGATGAAAGCAAGGCCAGAAACTTTGCTGCCTGATCCTTGGGACCTCCATATAGATTCCTTCTCATTTTGACTGTTGAGCAGACAGAGTGTCATATCTTCCAACATCACTTTCTGTACCCCGTGTTCTCTTATGCAAGGGCATAAGGGTGCAGAAATAATCTTACCTTTTTTTCCCTTCTGCTGCTTTTTGTACGGTTGATTTAAAATAATATCTAATTCTAACAGTGACTTAGGAACATTAGCCTGAGTGCTTCTATTTAATCCAAGGGTGAGGAATGTGCTCCAGCCTCTGAGCCAGATATTGCTCCTGAGGCCTCTGCATTTGACCTAAGAGGCCTCTCTGCAAACCTTTGCCCAACTCCGTTCCCTTTCTTCAAGCCAAATGCTCCCTTCTTTCTTCTCTGTGGAGGAATGGGCTGCCTTCTTCTGCCCATTGAGACAGTGCATTGGGAAGCTTTCTCTCTCAGTCTCCATCTGAACTGAAGAATGCTTGCCTTCTCAATCATACAAAGTTCAAACAGAAGAAAAACTGATGGATGCCAGAAGAAGTATGCTTCAGTCCAGATCCCAATCTCGGTATTATTCTCTTTGTCCTTCTACCTGACTTTTTACAACCAATTGCCCAAGTAAGGACATATGTAGGCAGACAATCCTTCTGGGAGCCTCTTTCCAAGTTGTAAAAGGTTCCATATTATAAACCAGCATTTTGAATTCGGTTACAAAATGGACTGGGAGTCAAGACAGTTTGTTAAGCTCCAGCACAGTATGCACATGCAACCCAACCCCAGATAGCAGTATTGCAGTTGAACTAATTAAATTGTCAACATCCAAGCCCTGATTGATTTGTCTTCTGCTGCTCTCTTGCACTCTACTGGGTAACCTGCAATTGGTGTTGGAGAAGTCTATCTTGATTTCTTTCAAATTCAAGATGGGATAAGATCTCTTATATGCTAATATCATCATAACCATTCTATGCAGATAGAATTGTTAGGATCAGTTCCTCTCCACTTTCCCCATGCCTTGTCTTTAGACTTAAGGGGAAGGACAAAATATACATGGAGAGCTGCAGAAGGATCAGCTTCTGTCCATTTTGCCCATGTCATAGGTTTTTATATAAGGGATGGTAGAAATCAGACAGGACATCAGGCTTTTAATAACTGTCCCTTTTCTTCAGTCGTCATCTCTCCCATTCAGCTTTATCTGGAACTCCTGAGGCTTTTAGTCTGTTACAGTGCTTATTCCAGCTTTGCTCTAACTGTCCCACCAACATACACACGTACACACACACACGCACCCCTCAAACGGTAGTCCCCTTTGTAATTTTAATGCTAATTGGAAGCCTTTTTTGGACTTTTTGCATGAAACAGAAAAAATGAAATTATATGGATTTGATGATTAGAAATAATACTGGACAATAGAAAAAAATGAAAGTTATGTTGTAAGACTAAGAGTTTAGTGAAAATTGATACTTATATCTGTTGTGAGGAAAGTCAGAAGTCATTCTTTTGTACAATACAGTACAATACAATAACTTCATTGCAGTCATCAACCAGCACAAGATAATTGGCACTCAGTTATCCAAAATATCCAAAAATAAATTGACAATATCAGAATAATTAGGAAAAGTACATACAGACAAAAAATTTTGGCTAAAAGACAATATTAAATCAAAATACACTAGAGGGTTTACTCAGGCTACACATATGCAACAAGGAAAAAAGAGATTAAAATTAGCAATCCAGGTAATACACATGCATATTTGTGAATAAAACAATAAAATTGTCCAAAATGAATTTAAGAGTTATAAACTTCTCTTATAGACCTCTGTCAAACCTGAGAAGAATATAGTATAATAAATTAATATGGCATGTACACACCAAAGTCTAAAAGAAGTTAAAGAGTAGCCAATGGTTAATGCTGAGCCTGAACCTGTATTGTATTGTATTGTCAGTCTTTTTTGTACTTTTTCTTTCTTCTTTTTGCACTTTTGACTTTGTTCGTTCTTTTCTTTCTCATTCTTTCTTTCTTTTCTCATTCTTTATCTTTAATACTAGTTTTTGTTAGTTTTTATTTTTATTTTAAAATCTAATAAAGTTATTTAAAACAGAACAGCAGTCTTCTTTCCTCGTATCATAATTCCATCCCCTCTCTCCTTAGAATGTCTTCTGAGTCTTAAGATGTTTTAGCTTTCTTCTTTTCTTCTTTTCTACTCTTTTTTTCTTTTTTTTTTTTTTTTTTGGCTACTCATCACCAGCAACCCACTTTATGCTCTCATGAACAGTAGTCCTTAGTCTAGGGTACAAATAAGGCATCAATGATTTTTTTTTTTTGTAGACTCGGGATATTGGCCAGTTCTTGGCTAAAGAGGTGGATTCACTTGCTACCCGAGTAAAATTGGGAGGAGCCTCAGTTAATGAAGCGTGGCGAATCTCCAAGGAAGTTGGTCAGCTGACTGATGTGAGTATGGCTGCCTTCTCATGAAAAGAGCTCATGGCAGTTTTTTTTCAATGCTACTACATCACCTTATTCTCACATAAGCTTCTAGTTCTCTGATAAGTAAGCCTACTGTATATTATCTAGTACTTGTTGAATGAATGGAAATACTAGTATAGTTGCAGCATCCATTGCTGTATACAATATGAGGGTAGGATGTCTGATTTCAGGTCTGGATCCTTTGATAATTTAATTGTAAAGAACTGTTTACTGAAAATTGCCCTCTTGCCCCCACCCCCATATGAGGTCCGTGTGCTCAGCATAGATATACTTGTCATTAACTAGCTAATCAGATTACTTCAAGGGCTTTATTCTTCTCCTCTCTGACTGACTAGTGCCATCATCCTATTTCCCTTCCTTTGATTTCAGTAAAATGGCTGGCCAGTAACGTAAGCATGGACCAACATGGGGGAGCTCTGGCACAAACAGTTGACAGCTTTATAGTACCCACTAAAGACTGACATTTTTTACCAACGTACCTCATGCCAAAATGTCTCTGTTTAAGAGTGAAATTAGGGCTTCATTCATTCAAACAAACTCTGTCCTTTTAGCTACAGAGGAAGAAAAAAAACCTCTCCCTTCAGTTGCATTGCTGAAGAATTGTTGCCTTCTCCCGTCTGAAAAAGAATCTGTGAAATGGAAAGACTTAATGGAGTTGATTTATTTTACAGAGGGTGGACACTACCAAAATGACCCAGTGGCGGAAAAGGAAACTGCAGGCCACTCTCAAAACACTGCAGCAAGCAGCCAATAATGCCCATAGAAAAATGGAAATCAAACTGGTAAGGATCCAGCAAGTCTTTATTTTGACAGGCATGACAGAATTTCATAATAAGCTACAAAAAACTTAAATATGCAAAGAGGTATAATCAACCATGTGACCTAATACTCCTAATAAAAACTAATGACTGTTAAACCTATTTGTGATAAATTCTGAGCTAGAGGTTTATGTTGACTTCAGAGCAACAAATATTGTAATTAATTACATATATGCATAAAAATACATTTTAATTAAATATATAAAGAAGCATAGTAAATGGCACCTTTCCCAAACTAAGTTGCATCCTTCTATGATACATAAACCATCATATACTTGGAGTAACTAAAAGGATTGGGTCCAAGACCAGACAGAAAATCCATGGCAGGACTTCCAGCTAGGTTTTTTGCTACTTCATGCTATGCCCCGTTATGTCCTGGTCTTAGAATCAACTTGATATGGTATTGTATTGGGTTCTTTTTTAAGTTTGTGTTGGTATTTATGATTATTGTAAGCTTGTTCATAGGTAAAATAAACTCAGGCCCATGGATAGAACCTGCAATTACATTCCAATTTTTATTCAGCTTTTTAGTAACTGTACTTACTTGCAGTGCTTGTTTATATATAATGAACTAAATACCTAAGTAGAGAAAACGTCTCACACCAGCACAGCCTACCCCACTTTGGTGCCTTCCAGATATTTGGACTGGTATTCCCATGATCCCAAGGCAACATTACCATAAAGTCGTAAGATTGTGTAAGGCTGCTGCAAAGGCTAAGCAAGTCAGAAATCACAGATAAGTTTATTCAAATTATCTATTTATTAAAGATAAACAAAATGTAAATCAGGATTAAATATAAGCCTTTGCATATGAATGCTCCAGCTTGACACAGCAAGACATGTTAAAGTAAAACACATGTGTATACAGCTTTAAAAAGACAAATAATAATTTGGTACTTTACTTCAAACTTTACTCCAAATTTAAATCAAATCTGGAACCTAAGGAGAGAAGAAAATGCCGTTCATGTGTGTGTTTTCCTAGCAAACTCTGTGTGGATAGCTAATTAGGAGGATGAATGTGGTAGGGAGAGGGTTTCAGTGTTGTGATTGTTCCTGTGTTGAACTGAATACAGAAGATCAGCTTGGAGATGAATGAAGGATTGTTCAGGCTGGCTTATGGAGCACCCTGAGCACAGTGCTAATTGAAGATCTTATACTAAACTCTACAGAATAAGACTTGAGTGACCAATGGCCTTCTATTTGTTGAAATGCACTCCTAGCAGCCTCCACCACTGAAGTACAATTCATAGCATCCTCTACCATTGGTCATGCTGGCTGGAATTTCCAAGACTTGTGTTAACCAATAGCTAGCTTCAGCTGCAATTTACTCCTGCTATATAGAAACAGAAGGAAAAAAATGTTGGTGAGATACTTGTTGTAGGGAAAGGTGAGTGATCTTCTAGAAAGAGTTCTGAGCCTGGTTATCAGGATGTTCAGCTTGTGATACAGTTAGGTGGGAAACAAGAGCTCAAGAACAGGTTAACAGGTCTTTCTGGAGTAAAGTATCCTCAAATTTAGAGATGTGGAGTCCTCTTTTTATCCTTTATCTCATGATTAGGGTGTAAAGCAAAAACTAATGAGCTTTCAATGATCATTTCTCTGACTTGATACTCTGATATCTCTGAGTATCATTCTCTGATACTCTGACTAAAAGTGTTAGTGAGGAAATAGGTCAGTGCTACAGAATGAGATTAGACTTTTGGCATGGCAGACTTTCTCTTTTTCTGAGGTAAACTTTAATGTCTCTTTCCTCTCTGTTCGGGTATAATATGGAACTTCATACTGTTAATACATATATTTTCAAAAAACAGAAAATATGGATGTTTTGTAACAAGCACTTCATTTCACATGCATACATAGTCCATGGACTTATGCTCTTGCAGAAGGATTTCTTGTTTGCTTTACATTTGCCATTTTTAAAGTAGTAATTAATGCAGAAGCCACTGGGATGTTCCATTGACAGTATCACCTCTCTTTTGGTACACATTTTATGTCACTTACAAAGCCATCATTAATGCATTTTGTACGTTCTTTTTCCAGGCTGCAGAGAAGGTGCAAGACTTGCTGACAAAGTATTCCAACGAACCAGTCATCATTGATACTATTCCTGCTGAATCACCCTCTGTGAGTTTTAACCAATTGTGGATTTCTCTTAGAAAGCAGCATTACAGTCCTAGGGCCATGCTGAAGCTGTTTTGGCAGTCAGCAGATTGAACTGACTTTCTCAATTGTTTAGAAGCTCAGAGCAGAGAAAGGATCACATCTGAGCTGCTCAGACATTGTGAGTGGGCTGGCTGGTTCTGAACCCTTTAATAATTAGATTTTTCCCTACTTTTACAATTCTTGTAGCATGCAATCTGGAAACATTCCTTTTTACCAACTCTCAGCCTAACTATTATCATCCATTTCTCCTTCACAGTCCATGGTACGTTGCAATGCTTCATAACATCATACAATCTAAAATACTGAAGATTTGTTCTACTTAAATTTCTTGATTAAAACAAGGAATGTTTTAAAGGTGGAGTTTTATTTTTATCTTTTTTTTGGTCCTAGATCTTGATGAAAGCAGTCAATCAACTGTGTAACAAAGTGCCAGGGGCTTCAGTGATGTTGCTTAGCTCACAAGCACCTGACCAGGTGTTTTGCGCTTGCCAGGTATCCAAGGTAAGTGGGATTCCCAGTGAACCTGAAGTTTCCATTATTCTGAAAGAATAGAAGCAGAATCTAACCCTTTAAAATGGAATTTCATCACCAGCATGCCTAAGCAATTTTATAAAAATGAAATAATGGCTCTGTTACATTCACATACTAGGTTATCTGGTAGTCAAACATTTCAGTTTTTCATTCCATGAAAATGATTCTGGCCCAAAGTTCCAGGTTTTCGCTTTTAGTTACATGTGGGGAATCACATGCTGGAGATAATTGTTGTTTTACTGTTATATGGTGATAGAGTTTGGCCAAACAAGTCAGAGATGTTAATTAAGGCAGATCCAACGTAAGAAAAGTTGTCAGAAGAAATGGCTGAGATGAAAGGAATGGTGGACACTCTCAATATGCTGTCACTGCAGCTATAGGCAATGAATATATTATTTCCTAAATAGCTTGTTTTTTATTCATCTAAAATATATTACCCAAAGAGTATCCTCTTTGATGTTCTAAACAGCTATATTTATTTACAATTTAAAATATTTTAGTTATCAATTTGCACTGTTTTCAGAACTATGTGAAGAAATCTGATCTTTGATTGAAGAAATATCAATGGCAGATGATTTAAATCAAAGTTTTCTCTTAGTGATTAAGTTAATTAAATTGCCTTAATATAAATCAGTCCACCCTGGATTTCTTATAATGTCTAAGAAAGATTGCAAATTGTCACTTTCATTACAATTTGGTGAAAATAAGCAAAAACACCAAGCCAACTGCTTGGTAGTCTCTACTGGGTGGGATCTGAAACTGAAGGTTTTACCTCAGAGTTTTCTGATGTAGTGCCACACCAGACATTGGCTCATAGGTAGTGTGTTAAGTTTTCACTGTAACCCCCTGGCCCCCAGATAGGTCTGTTCTGCAGAAAGGATTTCCAATATTCTGTATTTGGCACAAAAGTTGGAAGTTGCAGAAAAAAATAGCAGAACATAAAAAGTTAACATAGACCATCACAGAGGGATCAAGATATTGTAGACGTTTCAGATTACAAGGATTAGTGTGGAACAAAGGAAACCCCAGTAATATTATCATGGTGTATCACTATAATTCTGAGGATTAAAAACATTCTTAAGGAATCCTGAGGTTCCTATAAGCAAATGCTGTAACAAACACATGCTCCTATGCAGTGGACTCCATGTGCACTTTTCATGGTTTAAAAGGCTTTGCATTTGTGTTACTGAGAAGCACTTTCCTCAGGGAAATGCCCACTCTACACAGCAACTGAAGCTAGACAATCTATATTCACCACCTGGTCCATTCCCAGCATACATACCCATCATACTATTCCCTTTCAGGATAAGCAATGTTATGCAAAATGCAGATAGGAGTAAAGAATAATAAGGATGTGCAACACTTTGGATCCAAAACTGAGAAGGTGCTTTGAAGGGGGTGTAGCTCCATCTTTCTGATTTTACACACTAGCCACATGATGCCCAGAAAATGCATGTTTAAGTAAATGTCAAGTACAATAGTGCTCTGAAGCATCTTGTCTCACACTGTGGGTGCTCCTTAGCTCAAACACATTTTCTTGTGTCCACATCACTTTATGTGAGCCCACAAAAAGAGGCAGGTTCTTTATGGAAGTACTAGTACTGTATGCAACGTGTGCTCCTACACTTGCTCCAAAGCATCTTTTTGGCTTCATATCAGAAGTATTGATTTCCCTAAGAAATGGTAAACCAAAGAAATAAAGCCATGAGATAAGAAAAAAAAGGAAATGTACCTAAATTATATCAGTACAATTTGTGATACCTTTGCATACCTTTCTATTCTTGCAAGCCATTCTTGCTTCCCCCAGGTCCATCCACAACTTCATGTATTGCCTTTTGTTCTTTAAACTTTTCAGCTCTTTATTTCAGGATCTCATTAGGACTATCCAGCCATGACTTTCTCAGACTTCCCCTTTCTGACAGCCCCTTCACTCCTTCTTCATGTATTTGTTTTAAAATTCAGTCCCCATTCGTGCTCTGTGATCAAATTACGTCAGTGTGTTTCTTTCACAATCAATCCACAATCATTCAGTGCTCATTTTCTTAACCCTATCTTTTCTTGCTTTACCACATACACTTCTTAATAAACCCTAGCCGCTGCATTCAGTCTACTTCTGTGTTTTACCATACATGCCCAGTTCTCACTTCCATATAACAAAATAGACAGAAGCAGGTTCTTACACATGGCCTCCATTTAATTCAATAATATTTTCTTGCAACAGACCACATACTATCAACAGCCTTTCTACCAGCATTTGCTCATCTTAAAATTTCTCCATTCATTTCCCCATCTTAGTAAACATTCTACTAAAGTATACAAATTCAGACAGCCAGTTTGGTGTACTGGTTAAGACACCAGGCTGGAAACTGGGAGACTGTGAGTTCTAGTCCTGCCTTAGGCACAAAGCCAGCTGGGTAACCTTGGGTTAGTTACTCTCTCTCAGCCCTAGGAAGGAGGCAATGGCAAACCACTTCTGAAAAAACCCTCACCAAGAAAGCTGCAGGGACTTATTCAGGCAGTCGCCAGGAGTCGATACTGACTCGAAGGCTATATATATTACCTGCCACAGAGCAAAAATCTGGTCTCCATTCTTGGCAGTTCATCTATGTTCTATTAATTTGTCCCCCTTCTCAGAATTCTTTAGCAAAGGTTTCTGCAGCTGACTGGGCTCTCGCTGTCTGTACTCAAATGGGAGGCAAAGCAGATGGTTCTGGAGTTGTGGCTAAAGGCATGGCGAAGACTGATGATTTGCAGATGGTGCTGGCAGCAGCACGAGAATATGCAAAGAATATATTTTGATGCTCAGTTGCGAGGAATCTGGATGTTCACTTGAATGACTATGAATCCTAATGAACTATGTACATGATGGTCCTGCAACACTGCTGAGTCTTCTGGATTATCGAACTGGTAGAACGAGCTGCCTTGATGTATACAAAATAAGGTCTTTAATGAAATATAATTTGCACTTGAGGTTAAGAAGAAGAACAAAGATTGTCCTTTGATCACCACATAAGCACAAAGGAAGTTAATCATACAGGTAAATATAATCAACCTCTCTGCATAGCTGCTAAGAAAAAATAACTACAATGCTGACAATAAAGGACTTAGGTTTGTTGGCTGCAAAATCATGTTTTTTATCCAGTAGAACAAAAAGTTATTACATTTTCCAAGACCTGACAATGCAATGGAACAAATTATTTCTAGGTAAGTATGCTAGCCAGCCTTTCTCTGGCTGGTTGTATGAATTTTGCAAATAGGAATTTCTTTGGAGGGAGTTTTTGCTGTTGAAAGCTGCTTCACACAAATAATAATTCTGGCGCAAATCACCTCTGAAACTCTGTTATACCCAGAGTTTATCATCTACTTGTTTGTGATTATCTGCCAGGGTTTGTCTGGATTAATTTTAGATGGATCACATCTACCACTTTTTTCAATTCAGTTTTTTATCCTAACCTGATCCTTTTTACGTTATTCTGAAGTCAAGACCATTTGCTAACCTTAAAAATATTTTTTGGAACAGAGGAAGGATAACCTGTGGTTTTCAAAAGAAAGTTGTAGTAGACCAATTGAGGGACAAATATAGCAAATGTGGTCTGGCCCTTGGTAGAATCTCGGAATGTGAGACTCTTATAAGCCTCTTGTCATTTAATGGAAATTATCAGCTGAGTCTTTCCCATAGACTCAGGGTTTAGCCATGAAATGTTTTTTTATAAGAAAGGACTGTTGCTGTAAATCCATAGTAGGAACTAATGAACCTTTCTTGGAAAAAGCAGAATCTCTTATTTTTAGACTCCAAGCTTCCTAAAAGTGCTCCTGATGATATTTTGGCAATCAAAAGATTTTGAGTTTTCTTAAATCTTGTTAAATTCCTTGTTAAATCACCCCTGTCAACAACAGAGAGGGAAAATACATACATGTGTGCATGTTCTTAACTGAACTACAATCAAGCACTGTCCCAATACATGATTGACTAGCAACACATAGAATGTTTTACAATGTAAAGTATTGAGAACTATATGAAGGCACCTTTCTTCCTTGCTTCAATCAACACTGGTACATTGAAGTGAAGGAAACTCAAATCCATTTGGTTTGTTCATGCTTCTGAACACAGCAGAGTTAAAGTTCAGAATGTTTTTGTTTGTATTCTGAGAAGCAAAGAAATGTTTGCATTAGTGTAATCTTCCATCAGTTTCAATGTAATACTATTCAAAAAGAAAACATTTTTTCACATAAAAGCTATGTCTGTCATATGTCTGTGATGTCCACCTTTATGTCATGTGCAGCACTTTAGATGCACATTTGTAAGCCAGCAAAATGCCAGTTTAGCCACAACTCTATTTATGTTCAAGCCAGACAGCATATCAATAATTGAGCGTTTTGCCAATATCCCAGTTAAATCATGGTCCAGAATTTCAAGAAATGGGAAAATTACTATTAGTATTACAAATTCTTTATATCACAATTTTTTAAAAAAGTATATTTCACACTTTTTAAAGACTTTAAATACCAAATCTAATAATAATAGCAACAACATTTTAAGCAAATAATATTGGTATGTATGATCTATTAACAATAAACGTTTTGCAACAGGCCTTAAGCTGCCCACAGGTAAAACAAAAACTTAACTAATGGCAGTGTAATTATCAGTAGAGCAACTTGTGTAAGTTTGGATTGTTTTCAATTTGCTGGCACTTTTTCCATAGTGCTTAGCCATTTCTGTGGAAACCTTTTCTAGTGATGCACTTAATTGTTTTGTTTTGTTTTAGACAAGCAATACTTTGAATGCTGTCCTCACTACCTAGGAACATCATTTCTTATCAGATATTAAAGAAAATGCAATGTTTTTGCCCAAATCACTTTAGTAATGGGAAAACCCTGTCCCATGTAGTAGGACTACCACTTCCATCATCTCTGACCTATTGTTTACTGGGAGTTGGAATCCAAACATTTTAGAGAACACATTTTCCATAGCCTGTTTTAAAGTTCCACGATAACCACAGATTCTAAATTACTGAATTCTATGTAGGGGCAAAGAGTACAATGCCACATACAGACCCGTACTATAAGGCCTTCACTGACGGAGAAAGAGTATATAAAACCATCCTGAGACTTGCTTCCATCGTCTCCTTTGGGCTGCTGGAGTGGTGGCAGCTGAAGAGATGGCGGCGATTCATTGAGCATGGCCTGTCTCTTCTGCAGAAGCAGCTGATTTCTCAGCACTGTAGAAAATAATATCAGTTACAAAACTATTTTTTAACCTATGTGGAAGGCATTGTATCAACATTGCACAACAAGTGTTTTGCAGGAAAACAGGCTTAATTTAAATTGGGAAAATCTCTGGTTGATTTTCCTTCCTACATTGAGAAGAACTCTGGGGTTCTGGCAAGACCTGCCTAGATAAATCACTAGGCTGACTCAATATATGGCAGCTCCTATATATTTAGGTTCTCTTATGGCTGTGTTTGTACAACATTGTACAAGACTAGTCCACAAAAATGAACACACTGCCATTTTATTCTCCCACCACATCCCACAGCTGTTTAACCAAACTTCTGCTTACATTTTCATCTGAACCCAAAATGGCCACCATTGGGGTTTTGGGAAAACCAGGACTTTAGCTTACAAATCCCAGTTTCTTATAGGTTACAAGTCCAGTTTCAGGAAACTCCAAATGGTTGAGATTTGGGAGGATTCATTCAACAAGATATGCTACAACACTTGCTGGAAGAGTTACATGTGACCAGGAGCTAGAAAGAGGAATAGCAGTATGTTTGTTAAGCAGTTGTGCTTAATTGTTGTGCAAATGCAGCCTATACATTAAACGTTGTGAAAATGCAGCCTATACATTTGGTTAATCTGTGGCACTATCCATTTTTGGCTAATCTTTAAAAAGTCACTGTACACCGAAAATAGGAGCATTCAGCCCTGAAATATTGATGAGATATTCAGTCTTCTTTTCTCCCCATTGTGAAAGTAACATTAATGCCCTCTTTTTCTTACTCATGCAAGGAAGAGAGCTCCTTTGGGTCTGGAGCAGTTGGTTAGCCCAGAGGGAGAAAAACTCTTGGTTAGAAGATATTCAGTCCTGCTAATATGGGCAAAAAAAGAAAAGGGACAGCAAGAGCTGTGTTAAAATGGAGGGTAAGATAATCTTGATGAAACCAAGCCTTGGATCTGATCAGTCAAAGAGAATTAATTTCTGGCTATCAACACAGTAGCAGGCAATTACTTGGTTTATTTGCTTTAATAGTGTTCAGTTATCCCTGCTTTTGCATCCATGCTTCCTCAAGGCATTGAGGAGCTGTCATTTATAGTAATTATTTGTTGCTGCTTCTCTAGTGATGATTTAATGATGGACCTTCATCATAATAAAAAAGGAACAACTAGAGAGCACACATGAAAAAATCAACAACATGAAAGGAATAAAATTCACAAGGGAAGAAGAAAACTAAAACACACTACCCTTCCTGGATATCCTCATCAGCAGAGGAAATGATGGCAAATTAGAAACGTAAGTCTATCGAAAAACAACCCACACTAACCAAGTGGTCCATTACCAAAGTAACAACCCAACCTCCCACAAGAGGAGCTGTGTAAAAACATTATTCAGACAAGCACAAATGCACTCTAGCAATCCAGAACTCAAGAAAAAAACAGCTCGCCTATACAACATATTCCAACAAAATGGATACCCATGCAACTTTATTGAAAAGTGCTTGACCGCTCAACCCACTACAGCACAACCAACACAAGCTAGGAAAAGGATAACACTGCCATACATCAAGAACATCTCAGAAACAACCAACAGACTATTACAACCACACGGCATCACTATAGCACACAAACCAACTAAAGCCCTCCAAAACATCTTAAGTAAACTAAAAGACCCAATAGCTCAAGAAGAAAAAACAGGAGTCATCTACAACATACAGTGTAAGGACTGTAACAGTCACTATGTAGGACAGACAGAAGACTGGCAAAGCGCATCCATGAACACCAACAAGCAGTCAGAAGACACAATGAAAACTCCTTAATCTCACAACACACGGACAGACTCAACCATAGTTTCAACTGGGAAACTGTGAGCATTCTAGACCAAGCTAAATCCAAAAACTTTAGGGAATTCCAGACAGAAGACTGGCAAAGCGCATCCATGAACACCAACAAGCAGTCAGAAGACACAATGAAAACTCCTTAATCTCACAACACACGGACAGACTCAACCATAGTTTCAACTGGGAAACTGTGAGCATTCTAGACCAAGCTAAATCCAAAAACTTTAGGGAATTCCTGGAAGCTTGGCACTCAGACACATCAGCCATCAATAGACACATGGAGATAAACCACATTTACACACCATTCAAAAGAGACAATAAGAAAGCTAAGGAGGAAACAAAAAGACCAAAACACATCCTCTCCAGCAACCTACACCCAGATAAACAGGGATTAACACCAGACAAACAATCAGACAGAAGACTGGCAAAGCGCATCCATGAACACCAACAAGCAGTCAGAAGACACAATGAAAACTCCTTAATCTCACAACACACGGACAGACTCAACCATAGTTTCAACTGGGAAACTGTGAGCATTCTAGACCAAGCTAAATCCAAAAACTTTAGGGAATTCCTGGAAGCTTGGCACTCAGACACATCAGCCATCAATAGACACATGGAGATAAACCACATTTACACACCATTCAAAAGAGACAATAAGAAAGCTAAGGAGGAAACAAAAAGACCAAAACACATCCTCTCCAGCAACCTACACCCAGATAAACAGGGATTAACACCAGACAAACAATCAAGCAGAAAACAATAATCAAGGAACTACCAAGGAGAAAACCACACCCCCACCAACACTGGTAGGGCAAACTACTGTACTTAAACAGGGAGCAAACCCCACACTCAGTAGCACTGATGATGTTACCTAGTCAGATAATTAAATGTGTGCAATCAAACAACCAAGCTCAGAGAGCACCAAGGACTCAGTTCAACTCTGAGTTACATATCTCTTCTACTGAAATCAGCATGCCTGATCAACATACTATATATACAAAAAAAAGAAGGAACCACATCCACCCTATCCCAAAGCCTGGGAGAACAGACAGGTCTTGAAGGTCTTTTCGAATGCCATCAGGATGGGAGCCATACCAATCAGGGGGGATCGCTTTCCAGAGGACAGGCACTGTGACAGAGAAAGTGCATTTCATTGGTCCCAATAAATGACACTGTTTAATTGAAGGGACCTGGAACACACGATCAGAATTCTGATGGATAGTCTAAAAGGAAGTGACAATGAGTAAAAGTTGGAAAATGCAACGTGGCTTTATGCCACACAGGATATGTAGGCCAGATTTTTGCTGTTTGGCAGATGATTGAGAAATGTAAATGTAAGAAATGTACTGGGCATTTCTTGATTTAGAGAAAGTATAAGGTAAACGGAATTGGCCTGAATTATGCAATACTTTAGTTGGGTGTTAGTGCAGGACAGGGCAGTATATGATGGAAATAAAACACATGTGAGAATAAATGCAACCCTTAATGAATTGTTCAGTGTTGTCTCCTTGGTTGTTTAGTATATTTATGGATATGTGTATAAGGAATACTTGTGGCAAAGGTAGAGGTACTGTATATTGGTTGGGGGTGTAAATATATGTCTACTTTTGTATGCAGGTAAGGCTCAGTACCACAGTGATTTGCAGTGAATGTTAGATTCTATAATTCAACAAGGACTATGGATTTTAAAGTTAATGTGTTGCATTAGTTGTCTTTGACAGGAAAATGGAGCAAAGAATTGTAAATTAAACATATATGGTGAAACACTACTTTGGTAGAACATTTACTACTAACTTTACTACTGAAGTTGGGGAGATGGATGACAAAATGTGTAAATGCTATTTGTTGAAAGAAGTAGCACAGCAGGAATGGAGACTTAAGAAGTATGTGTTTTAAAATGAGATATGGTCAAGAATAAATGGGTATTGAATGAATGCAAATCAAATACAAAAGTGAGTGACAAGTATGAAGAAATATTTGAGGTGGCTGGTCATATAGAAATAATGAATGATCAGATTATAAAACAGATGTATGAAGGAAGGATGAATTATTCAAAAGGAAGTGGAAGACTAAGAAAGTCAAGGTTGGATGGGGTTGATCAGATCCTGAAAAATAAATAAGAAGTTCAAAGAACACAAGGCAATGTTTGAATCTATGCATGGACATGGTGATAGTATAGAATAGCATGGAGAAATACATTTTGCTAGCGCAAACTAATTTTAATTAGATTTCCTTTTCTTTTATCTCCCACCTTTGATTGGTTGTATCCTCTATTTCTCATTTGTTTTCTAAGCTGCACATAGTGTGGCTTATGCAGAAAGGGAACAGCACAATAGTTAAGTGTTTGTGTCTTTTTTCAGATTTCCAAATGACAATGAACCTACCTGGGGCTCTTTGTGCACTTGCTGCAGATCTCTTGAGCCAGTGTTTTTGAAAGGCAGCCCAGTATGGCATTAGGATGATGGCAACTGAATCCTTCAGACTGTCAAACAAACTTGGGGGTGGAATCTCCTTCTGGAGGGCCTGCTCAGCTGCCCGGATAGCTCTGCCCAGCCTCTTATTATCCACTGCCACCTGCAGGGCAAACCACACACATTCAGCATTCTGCATGCCAAGATTATCCCTGGAATCACAGCCTCTTTTTCCTTTTCCTCTCCAGTCATGCAATAAGACAGACATTATTTGGAGGTCAAACGTATGATCTCACATTATCTTCCTGTTACTTTAGCCTCTATTTGGATGGAATCTGGTTTCACTGCCAGTTACTGGAGCAGCAGTAGCTGATCAGCCAGGATATTCTCTAGATAAAATAAGCCCTGGCTATAAGAAGCTGAAATGAATTTAGCTAGTAGGAGATAGGTGATAGCATTTCATTATTTTGGAATTGCTGTTCTGGAAGGAATACTGACTAGAGTGTTAGGCTACTCAGTGCATCTTGGTATATTTTCTCTGACATTCTTGATGCTGTTGTTTTGACTCCTTGTCCCTTTTGGCTTTATACAGCCTTCTGGGCAAGTTATAGAATTAGTGATGCTAGCTTCTTTCACAGGTTTATACATGACTACCATTTATTTGTAAAATGTGTATTACTTCCATTCCTTTAACTGCTCAGGGCAACCTGCAAGCAACAGTTAAATACAATTATCATGATATCTCAAACGTTAAAAGGCCTAGTAAATAAATCTGTTTTGAGGCCAACCCTAAACTGTAGGAAGATTCTGACTCCAGTGGCAATTAATTTTATAATATGATATCCTTCCATAGAGAAAAGTGAATTGGTTGTTGTTAAACTAGGGTCTGCCAAAGATTCCCATTGGGTGGACTTTAGAAAAGCAGGTACTTTGGGTTCAACCATGTAAGGCCTTACACACCTTCACAAGCTCCCTGAATTAGGTTTAGAAGGCTGGCAATAATAAAGTTGCTTCAGCATAGGAATGATGTGGGAGCCCAAGAATGCGTCACTCACCACTCATGTTATTGTATTCTGGTCCAGCTTCACCTTTAGGACTGCCTTTAAAGGTAATTCCACAAAAAGTATGTTGCAGTACTCCAAGGTTGAGGTTACCAGTGCATGAGACACTACTTTCTGTCCTTCAAGTAAAGTCCCACCGGGTTAATCAGCTAAAGCTGATAAAAGGGTCTCCTTGTCCCTAACATTATCTAACTGCCCATCACCAGTGCTAGATCCAGGAGAACCACTTCACCTATGCAAACCTGTTCCACTAGAAGGAGTACAACCCCAGGCAGAACAGGTACACCTAACTCAGAAAGTTCAGCCTGCAGAATAACAGCTTCATCTTATCAGAATTCAGCTGATTTTCTTACATCCAGTCCTTACAGCCTGAAGCTGCATAGAGTCACTAGTATCATCCAACTGCATCCTCAAGAAAGGTGAACTATAGCTGAGTATCATCAGCAGACTGAGAACAACTTGCTCAAAATTAGTGAATGACTTTCCCACTGGCTTCATATAAATATTAAATAATATAGAATGCAAGATTAAACTTTGAGGAACAGCTACCCCTCCACATTGAACATACCTAAAGGACTGAAGAGGTCTCCCAATGTGCCTTAGGGTTGTGCCCAGAGAGAAAGGAGTGGGACCACTGAAGAAGAGCATCTTGAGCCTCAGCTTCCCCATGTGCTCCAATAAGACAGTATGGTCAAAAGTATCAAAAGCCACAGAAAGAGCCAGGAAAAACAACAGGATCCTTAACTCTGCATTTATAATCCCAGTTATAGGACTTTATATTACAAATAGCAACAGAATGTATATCACAATATAATACATAGGAAGTAAGTCTGCATGTATTCTACCCTCTGATACTACTGCAAAAATATGGTTGCAGTAATTGAATCCACCATGTTGAGAATTACAGCTTCCTTTGTTTGTTAGTTTTCAAAAGCAGGTTTCTTGCTTTCAATCTTGAAAATGTGGACACATCCTAGTGAAATTTTGAAAGATTAAGCTATGTGGTAAAATCTATCCTGTGCATAATTTACTCTGGTCACATAATTTTATTTATTTATTATATATATAAAACAAAGAAAATACTCCTTTACTTTTTACTGCAACTTCTTGTTGAAATTAATGAATGAGAATTTGTTTTAGCAATTCTATCAAAAAAGAAGAACATTTTGCAGCATGGTGTTTGTGGACATATTAGTGATGAAATGACCAAGAGTTGTCTGTTAATTTCCTGATTCTAATTGGGCAGCTATTTTTCCAGTGATCTGCAGCCTCCATGGCTTCCCTTGCTTCAGCTAAATCCCAGGAAAGATATGGTGAAACCTATTTTCCAAAGAGGCCTCTTCTATACCAGTCTTACTGTACTCTGCTCTTGAGAAAGGATTGGAGAATTTCTCTTTCTTCTGGAAATTTTTGAAGAAAATGTTCTCTGTCAACAAATCTGGTGGAGCATTTTTAAAGATCATAATGCCCATCCATGGTTATTTCCCTTTAACACAGACAGTTAACATTCAATATGACTGTCCTTTACCACAGAGAATATGAGCACTCTTACATACATGATAAGACAATAATCATAAAAATAAATTTAAAATAAATTGTTTCCCTTTATTTTTGTTAATCAATCCTTACCAACCAACCTGATAAACAGGACACTCCGCCTGGGGAATAAAAATGCCACTGATATTGTAAGCTCTTACCTGTAGCCGAGGCTCAATCTGAGAAGCAAGGAAACAGTCACGTATTACCAGAACCTTTTTCTTCAAAAGAGCCATGTCAGGCCAGGCATGATGAGCATTTTTGAACTTTTGCACTTCCAGCAGAAAATGCAAACCACTTTCCAGCACAGGTGTTCCATGCACCTGGAGATGTTTAAGGAAATGGAGCATCTCCACCGTGGGCCAGCCTTCTGCAGCCTCTTTTAGAGACTGCCAAAAAGAGTCTTTATCTTCCCTTGTAGGTTTTGCTGTGGCTGCTGATGCATCCTGTGCTTCCCGGTTCCTTAAATGCCTAAGAGCTACTTTTCCAGCTATCACTTGTAGGAATGGTTCCAGCTTGCACCAGCGTTCCTCTGGAATCTGAGAAGGCACCAGTCCATATTTCTTCAGCCCTTCACTCATCTCATCCCAAAACTGCTCAAAAGCAGGAACAACCAGGGAACGTAATAAGAGTTGGATTTCATTCCAGCTGAAGTCGGTAATTTCTCCCTGGGCCACTTCTTCCTTTATTCTTTTCTTCAGTTCTTTGGGGAAGGGGATACTGGATCTCAAAGCCCCCAGCTTGTCCCAGATGTCTAGAAATTTAACTGCACAATTCAGGTATTTTTCATACCCTGGGGCTTCCAAGCAGGCCTCCACTTCCTGTAGGAGCCCTAAAACCATTTGAAGCTCTATATTCTGCATTTTACAAGCTGCCTTTTTATACACATTTAAGATAACTGGGTTGCTAAGAAAATCTGGCACATTTTGAGGGGTGGGTGAGTCCTGAAGAACTGGTGATTTTTCCCTACTTCCCTGCTCTGTACTGCTTGTGCTGGGAGATTTGGAAACCACCTTCTTTCTATCTCTTTTCCCGTGTAACCCTCTGCCTTTTGAGTCATGAACATAGGTGTTTTGTTTCTGCTTCTTTATCCTGCAGGCAGAATGGCATACAAATAAAGGCTAGTACAGCACTTCTCGCAGAATTTCTTCTTGCAGAAAGAGATACAAACATTCAGTTAAACTGACTATTCAGTAAAACGATATACTAGTGATGTACAAATAAAACATTTATTTTTAAGAATAAATAATGCAAATCTCCAAAATACAATGAATTAATCTGCAAAATGAATACTGGCTTCAATACTTTTAAATTTCACCTATTATTTGGCAAAGGGTGAAGCAGCAGCAGAAGGCAAAGGACAAAAAGGAACATGGCTGAAAAATCTATCTGGGCAGAGAGGCAGAAGCTAGGATGTATGTAAGCCGTATTCTTTCAACCCTAGAAGCCAAGGTCAAAACCAACTTCATTTGCAGATTCCTTTCCTCCACAACCATGAGGGCTAGAAAGTAACACATATGCATGTCAAAGCTGAAACACTTAGTCAGATTCAAAATTGTGTTAATTGTTTCTGTTGTACTTTAGTTTCCACTTTGTAGTAATAACTGAGTTATTACTTTTGAAGGGAGCAAAGAACAAACATCTATACTTCGAAATCTTGGTCTAATTACTGCATTACCCTTGCTGCGTTATCTCACTGTCCACTTCCTTCAATATCTTATTCATACCGTTAGAAATTAACTCCAACAACTGATTTACTTTCAAGGTAACAGTACAATCCTATGCCCATCTCCACAGAAATCCTCCTGAGTTCAACTAAACTTTACTCTCAAGTAAGTCTATATAATAGACCACAATGTATAAAACCTATTTTAAAACCCTGAATATACGATTTGGAAGTATGACACCATAAGGCATTAAGGCTACCAAAGTAAACTTTCATTTCCACAAAATTTTGAATACCTCCCATTTCTGTCCTGCTTGCTTCTATGGTCTTTGCTTTTAGTACTTTGGACATCCAGATGAGACATTGGTACACAGTATCTGTAAGAAAGAAACATTAGATAAGAATATATTTCTGTTGTGATTGGAGAATTTACAAATTATTTGCAATGGGTTTTCCTTCTTGTCCCCAGGGATAATGGATGTCTCATGTAATTCATTAGATTTAAAGAACTCTTAAAATCGTCTTCATTAATATAGCAAAAACAACAACTGGACCTGTTCATTATCTGCACAACATTACATAAAGTCTCAGTTTATAGTGTTGCAGGTCCACAACCTTTGAAATATCTGCCATCAGAAAATGCATACGTTTTCTTTTCAGAAAACTCAGAATAGGACATCTCAAGACTCACTCGAGGAAAGTTGTGACTTCATGGCGAACATAATGGAGCCACACCCTACCCAGAATAGGCAGCACATATTGAATCATGGGTTCAAAAGCAGAAAATATCAAGTCTCCATTGCCAGTGGAAAGCATTCTCTCAAGATGCTGGATGTATTCTAGCATACTGGAACTAAGCTCTGCAGAGAAAGGAGAAACAGAGCACAAGATTGGCTGAGGACTCCAGCTTCAAAGTGTTTGTTCATAGGCCAAGTGTGCTCAAATAGTAAACAAATCCATTGGAAAATCTGATAAAAGCTGGAAATTAAAAGTAAGCAAATGGTATTGGTTTTCCAAAATTAGTTATAAGATAGGGCATCGGTGTCTATGGTTTACACTATAGCAATTACAAGTAGGCTTTAATTATGTTTCCAAACCCTAAACAATCTGTTTGATCAGGATACCAGTGGGACAGAATTAATATGTTTACCAGGAATAACAGTGGATTATTGTTATTATCTATCTCCACAGCAAAGGTATCCTGCAACCAATCTACAGAAAGGGCCTTCCTAAGATGGATTACTTCTCTTGCTTTCTCCAACCATAAAACACTCATACCATCACTGATACTCAGTTCATTCTAATCTATTCTAAGAACTACATACTTAAGTCAACATTGTCCATCCATCTGTTCCTCTTTCTGTCTCAACTTCAAAAATACTGATGACATGACATTAAGGACAAAGATTCCATATTCTAAAGACATCTATCCCCATACACAGGTACTCAACATTCTGGGTAGTGAGTTCTTTCCAGTTGGTAGGCTTTTTGCAATGCTGGACTGGGGTGATTAAATCAGATTCCCCCATATTCATCCTTCCAATATAGCTCACCTGAATTGCGTTCTGTATAAGTGGCCAGAAACATATGAAAAATCTGCCAGGCTATATTACGTTTTTCAGACTGGCTTGCCTGGTTCTCCTGTGCATTTTCGTAAAAATTTAGCTTCTTCCACAGCAATAGGTGATGAATCTTCTGTGGATCCTCAAACCTGGAGAGTAACCATGAAAGATACCTACTTCAGCATAAGGTGAACTGGAGGAGTGATGCCAATAAAAAAAGGGATGTATCGGCATAGGGCAATGTTGGAGCCTGCTTTTTTCAGAAGATTCCCACAATCAAATATCCTCCTGTGGGTTGTAAATAAAGCACAACCCTGAAATGTGGAACACTGAAGGCAGCTGAGAAACTCACCGAGTCAAGTAGTGAAGGAAACCATCCCCATCCCCCAGATCGCACATCAATGCTTCAAGAAATCGAGTGGTTGTCAGTGTTTCAAAGGAGTCTTTAAGGGAACCCGACAGTTTGTTTGGGCCAGTTCCATTTCTGTTTTTCCTAAATGTTGAAACCAAAACCAAATTATTCAGGATCTTCCTGCTGTACAATGAGATCAGAACTGCATTCCGATTTTCCTAAACCATTCTGAAACTTGTCTCAGAGTAAAGCAAAATTACCAGTCTAGTTCAACCAAAAAGTCTGCTGTCCTTCCTCAATGGAAGTAAAGTTGATCATCTATAGTATCATTTCTTTGCTGGTTTATTTCTATACTAATTTTCCTCCCAGAGAAGCCTAGAATGGTTAACAATAAAATAGTTACAGAAGAAACCATCATGTCATTGCAGAAGCATAGGGAATGAAAGAATTTTCTTGACAACTGCCATAGCATTGTAAAACAAATTTAAACAATGCTTATATTGTTGAGCAGAGTGCAACAATACTCCTGTTGTGCAGAGTGCAGCAATACTTCCAGGAAAGTGTGCCCAGGAAAAATACACACCAGCATGATAGATTTACAAAATGCAATGTCCATATCTTGTTCCCCAAAGAAATCCAGCCAGAAAATACATACTAACTGGTGTTTATTGATAAAAAATGCAAAACTCCATAAAATGCAAATATCATTCAAAATATAGGAAAAAAATGTCCTCTCATTTATTTTAGCATCCAAGACTTATCTGCTACACAAGCTTACCAAAGTCTCTAGCCAAAAACTCTCAGAGAAGAGGTACACTACTTGGTTATTAGTTAAAACTACATAACCCATAAAAACTAACTACATGGTGGCTAAAACTATACTGCGAGGCTGGGCATATAATCCTCCCGTTATATTGCCACTCCATGAGTAACTAACATACACACGCCAATAGATGGCAGTAAATAGCAGTATACGTGCATAACACACAATTACAAAATTTTCACATAATCCATAGAGACATAATATTGTTGTAAAGAGAACGAGATGAATTTCTTCCCATGAGAAAATCCTAACATATATAGCCTCCTCTCTGCATTTCTGCTAACAACTGGAGAGGACAAGGCAAGCTTTTAATTTGCCAGTTACTGAATACTGAAGTTTTTCTGCCAAGAATTTGACCATTGTGATATTAATTGTTTTAAGTTGTCTTGAGTATTATTATTTATCCATTAGATTTATATTCCAATTTTGCATAAAGCAGCACGCATAGCACTTCTTCCTCTGGGTTTTTGTTTTTGTACAATCTCAGCTTTGTGAGGTAGGATTAACTAAGAAACAATGATCAGTGCAAAGTTAGCCAGTGAACGTCCACGCCCGCACCATATTCAACAAACGCACCTTGTAATGCAGATGCGCACATACATACACACACAAATACACAAATCATTTTAGTAATCACACAAATATAGATACAGGAACAGATCCTGAGTAGTTAAGGATAATTAGTTTACTAAACTTCAAAGTTTAAACCCATCAGGATTTATGATTGCAATAGAATAACAGTCAGTATCAAAAACAAGATCCACACCATCAACAAGGACGCCCTGCCAGTCATCAGATACCCTGCAAATATAGTGGGCTGGCCAAAGGAGGACACGGAGGCTGCCGATGTGAAGACCTGGAAGCAACTCCCAATGCACGGAGGTTTCCACCGCAAGTCCAACACCCAGAGAATGTACACCAGCCACAAAGAGGGTGGGCAGGGTCTGGTGAGTGTCAAAGCCACTGTCCTGGATGAAACCCAGAGCACCCAGGAGCACATCAGTAAGATGGCACCCAAAGATGAGCTGTTGAGAGAATGCCTGAGGCAGCAGCAGTCATGGGAGGAAGTTCAAGCAAAGGAAGTGCCATGGCAAGAGAGGCCCTTGCATGGGCTGTACCATCAACAGATAGCTGAGGTGGCTAACATTGGGAAATCCTACCAGTGGCTGGAAAGGGCCGGACTAAAAGACAGCACTGAGACACTGATCATAGCAGCACAA